TCTCTCTCTCTCATCATCATCATCATCATCATCATCATCATCATCATCATCATCTCCTGTGCCACTGAATGCTGAATCAGGAACACAGTCTATACTTCCAGCTGTTGGCTTAAGTGCAAATCTGTTGTAATAATTTTTTCCTGTACATTAGATTATTTGGCATTGTAGATTACAGCACATACTAGCATCACTCATTTGAGGCTGGGAATGTATGAGAACATCAATGAAGAGTGCTTGGGAAATCAGCAGAACTGTGTGGCAACCCACCTAGGTAACTGTGCATTGTGGAAGCCTTTTTGTGTTTAATTGTTGCTTTTATAGACTACTCTAGAAGCTCTACTCTATTGTTCCATTTTATTATTAAAAGATTCAATTTATCTATTAATGTCCTTAAAAGTTGCAATCAGCCCCTCCTCCAAATGTTTTTCTCAACAAATGTCTTTTTCTCCTATCTTCAAGAAAGAGGGTACCATGTAACATATAAATTGAAACAGTATGGTTCCTAATAGAGATGTTCTTTCTTTTCTATTTCTCTTCTTTTTTGCAATGAGTCTCATGGCATTGATTCCCAAAATGTTGCTATCTGAGTGAAGTATCTGCAAGGGCTGCCAACAATGTGAAAATGGTAGGCCCTGCCCATTTTTATGTGTGTGAAATGCATGTGACACATGTCAAAAAGGGGCAGGAATTTAATCGCCTGATCGGGTCTACCATTTTGATATTGTTGACACCCCTATATCTGAGGCCCTCTATTTTCTGGATTAAAAGGGTAAGCATCATTCACTGTTTCACTGAAATAACACTTTCCATTCTGCCCAGGAAGAATGAGCAACTCCTGTTAATTTTGTTAATATAAATTTGATAAATGTTTTATATTTTTAATTATTTTATGTATTTATTGTTTTAGTTAATTGCTGTACGCCACCCAGAGCCACTTTTTGTGAGATGGGTGGCTATACAAATTTCATAAATAAAAATAAATAATTTGCTTCTAGGGTCCTATTTTTCTCTTTGACTCATGAGTCAGAGGGTCAGGGGTGCACTGGGTAACAGTAATATCATTTAGATTACTTTGTGACAATTCCTTACATTGAGGAACAAGATGCTGGCTACATCCCTTCTACAGAACCTACCTTAAAGAATCAATTGAAACCCTTAATGTAGCCTAGGACAGCTGCAACAAAACTTGAAATAATGTTTTCTGCAGCCCAGTACTGAATTTGCAACTCACCCACCTCTAACCATCAATACCTTGAGAGAGAGAGAGAGGGAGAGGGAGAGGGAGGCATTTCACAAAATTTCTGTGCTCCCATGGCCAGAAAGACCTTTTGATAGCACACCTCCATGAGCTAGTATATGATTTGAAGATCACAAAGGTATGACAAATAATTTTAAACTCTATTTGTGGTTGATGTATGCAGTCTAGAATGCCCATAGCGCCTTCTCTCTCCTACTTCAAAATCTTCGGAGACAAGAATGTTAACACCTAAACCATGTGCCTGTTCTTTTCCGATTCACATTTTCTATCATTGTGTTTCATTTTCTGTAAAAAAACAGATGTTGTCTGTTCAGCTTATTTGCTGAATAAGGTCTAGTTGATGATGTTTGAGTTTCCAATCAACTTTACTAAAGCCATTTGACCTTTAGCAGAAACAAACGTAAAATGAGAATGTAGAAGAGTGATTTATTCAGGAAAGAATTATTTATATAACTCGAGCATGTTTTTCATTAAAAATGATATTTATTTATACCGTACATACTTCAAAAACAGTGTTTTTTTTTTTCTCTTTTTGTTCCTTAGATATCATTTAGCCATTTGTTTAGGTCTGTTTTGCCTTGTCAATATTTCTTCTTGCTTTGTTCTTACTATCTGGAGGGTGTTTGCAAATACAGTGCAGGACAGGTAGCACTACAGAGTTTCATTATGTTTGAGAAGAACACCCCTTTACTTTCTATGTTCCCTTTCACAAGCATACGGTACACACGCAGCATAAAACAAAACAAAGCGTCTCTCCATTCAATTTTATTTTTTAAAAAGTAAGACTTTGGAAAAAAGACAAAGCACAAATGAAAAAAAATCAAGTCAGCAAAAATTGTGGAGGTTTTGATGTAAACATATTTTTGATATAAACATACTTTGACATACTGGTCAGTATTTTTTAAGAGTCTATATGAATTCTGTAAATCATGTTGAGGCTTATGCTCACTATTTGAAATCAAAGAAACATGATTTAAAATAAGGCATTTTAATTAAGGAAGCCCCCCCCCCTGTGTGTGTGTGTTTAAATACACATAGAGAATACTGCAACTATTGTTCTTGCTTTGTTGTTAGGGGGAAAAAAGTACTTAGCATACAAAGGCACCAAGCTACTTATGACCAAGTTGGGATTTACATTAGCTGTGACTAATTTCTTCCCGTTGGCTTTAATGGGATTTGGTCACAACTAACTATAGTTGGATTGGGGCCAATGAAGAGGAGGAATAGTTTCCTCTAATAAAATTAACAGACTGAGTTATTATACAATGAACAGTGGTTGGAAAGTACATAACTGGTTCAATTTGAAGGCTGAAAACAAATAACCATTTCTGGTTTTGCAATTACATGAGAAACTTCTAAGAAAGAAAAACATTCTCTTTGCATTAGCAATACACTGCATGGGGAAATACTCCTTAGGTGTCCTTTAAAGAAAGGATCTGTTATACGACACACACCATAATGGTCTTTACTGCAGACCGAACTTGAGCAAGTATCATTCACTCAGTATGCTGGGGTAATATAGGCTGCTAGTGTGGCTTGCCATGCTCAGACAACATGGGTAAACACCAGAAGCAGGAACAACTCAAAAGGGTTGGAATGCAGATCCTCCCTGTCTTCCTCTTTGATGCTCATTCCGAACTCTACTGTGGTTCTCTCTGACCAACCACTTTGGGAAGTACAAACAACTAAAACATTGAAATTGGTTCTGGATCCCCCCACAGCTACCAGCTTGTCTCTCCTGACGGGAGGTTATCCAACAAAAATGAATAGGACATATTTTCCAAGCTTTAAGTGCTTGTGCCATTAATGGCTTTTGATTGCTTCTATAAAAACATGCCTTAATCAGTCTATTGCACTTTCCAGTGCGGATCGGACAACTTTGCAGAGGCCAAGGTTTTCTTTTCAAGACAACTACAGCCCAAGTCTTCAGTCAGGACACACATCTTCATTTCAGGAATTCTTATTCAGCTCTTAAGTCACCAAGGCGCAAAGTGAATGCTACAGAGATGCATGACTTCTAGAAGCTCACTCACCCCTCCCGAGCTTTTTCTATTGATCTCTTCAGGGAAAAAAATATGATTTATAATGCCATTGTCTTCAGAGCTTCAACACACCCTGAAAGTGTGTTGGACTGGTGTGGGTAAACACTCAACAGCATTACATCATACAGCTGCATTTCCTGAACGTAAGCAGGGGAATTCATTTTGGGTGGGGGAGGGATCAAGAGTGGCTTTGTGGGAACCATAATGCAACCATATGCCTGTCTCCGAGGGAGAAAGCCCCACTGAGCGCAATGGGGCTTATTTCCAGGTAAATATATGCTGACTTGCACCTCTTTCCTAAAAGTTCATCCTTCCTTAGTTGAAGAAATGCCTCCATTGTCTCTTAATAAGTAGTTCTGCTTTCTTTTTTCTCTTTTTCATTTTTTAAAAATAAAACTGTGGCCTTCCTTTATGAATGTGCATAATCTTTAGGACCTGAGAAATACATCTATGTATATTATTCTGTTGCTCCCAAGTTCCTAGGATTTGTTTTTCCTTACTGCCACAATCTTAGCCTGTGGTTAATACCAGCTGATTATATTTTGGTTACTGAAAACTTGTGCAAAGTTGGCAGTTTTGTGTTAACATGTAACACTTTTTGTTCAGCATTCGTGTGCCATACTGACCAGACACCACATGTAACAAAGTGTAGTTTCTTAATAAGACACTGAAAGTATGGCAATACTTTTAAGGGAAAAAAGGGTATGGATATTATTACACATCCCCACATCGTGTAAGAAAAAAGTGCATGACTGGATTTATGTAATAGTAACAAGACCAAAATAAAAACAAAACAAGGACAACCTGTATCAGAGCAGGTGCTCTAAAGCATGCCAGCACCTCTTCCTTATGCATTTCTAGCAGGTAGTTAAAAACGGAACTTGTGTTTTCTTCTCTTTTTAAAAAAAATGTGCATTGAAGCTAATATAAATGAATTGAGCTAGCCAGCAAACTATTCCCACCCACCCCTCCCCACATATCTAACAGCTGGATGTAAATGTAAAAAACAAAACCCAAACAAACAAACAAAAGGTTAAACCACCATCAATACAATTGTTTTACATCATGGGCCTCTCAAGGCTCAATATATACAAGAGTAACAGCCATGCGTAATTGACGGACCTCTCAAAGGTTTAAAATACACAAAAACAACTGAAGTTGTCCTTTTTCTCTTTTTATATCTTTGCAGTGCTTTGTTTTTCGGGGTTTCTGTTTGGTTTTATTTTTTTCTCTTTCTTCTTCTAAGATTGCAGGCAACAGTCATAGGTGGAAGAAACAAGTCTCTTTGGAGATGACCACATATTTTATAGCAAAAGTGAGTTTTAAAATGCAAGTTCATTCGTTATTTTTTTTTAAGCAGTGGAAATGTTATCCCAGGTTAAAGATACTATCCCAACCCACATAAAATAAAAAAGAACAAAACGAACACAAATTAGAAAAAAAAAAGGGGGGGGGGAAGCACCCGGGGTTTTTCTGTTTTGTTAAAAAAGAAAAAAGATATATATATTTATATATTTATATTTATATATATTTATAGAAGAGTCTGTAAATGGCAATTTGAAGAAGTATAAGGTCTTACTTCTGAGCTGGCATTGACCATGTCCATCTCTGAACTAATCTAGTGAGGTGAAGGGAATGTTTTTATGCAGGTTAGGGTTCTGACTGTGCCGATTTCGGCTACGGACTGAGGAAAACATCATGTTGCATCCAGGGATTTTACATCTGTGCATTTCACGTAAGTGTACAGTCTTGTAATGCACCCTGAGAGTCCCCTTGTTGCTGTACATTTTGTGGCAAATGTTACACATGATCCCCCCATTGTTCATGGAAACACTGTTGAACATGAGAGATCCCGGGACTTCAGCACTTAGGCCGACCCCTAAGGCTGCAGCCTCAGCTTTGTGTGATGATTCGCCACTGTCACTTGCCCCATCCACATCATCAAGGAGGATGCCTTCATCACTTCCTGCATCAGATTCTCTGGAAGAATGGATGCTGCTGCTTGACTGGATGCTGGAGGTGGTGCTCAGGTCTAATACCATGTATTCTTCTGACATGCCCCGTCCATATCCATTCAAATGGGAGTCCTCAGTACCTGCTGGGGAGGAGGTGTCTTCCCGTAGATCAAAACCCATATGAGGTGGAGCACCATAGATCTTCATCAAGAATTCATCACGGAGGTCCTTGCTAAGTGAGGGCTGAGAAGAATCCAGTCCCATGTCATCCAGTTCTTTGGTCAACAGTTTACGGTGCAGATTTATGTTAGCACTGTGTCTGGGAAAGAAAGAGGAAAGAGATAGGGAGGGAAAGAAATATACAATATTGATTACAATTATACTGCAAACTTTACAAATGAAATAAAAACAGTAACAAGCAATGTTCATGCAATAATACAACTGTTGCTCTTTTCTTAGAAATACAAGCATTACTTTACGGACACCATTGCTACAAACGCAAGGCAAGATGCTGCAAATCCACATTAATTCAATTTCTTTTCCTTTTTTTTTGTACGGTTATCGTACTATGTATCAGGCTAATTGGCAGTATGACTGATTATTATTTTTCTTTTCAAAAAGATAGCATCATTTGAACTAATGGGGAGGACATTCAATGGAATTTTTTTTATCAAATCACAGCACTGGATCCACTGGTTCCTACTGATACATGTAATCATAGGGACCAACTGGGAAACAAGGGTAATCAGAAAAGAATCTTAAACTGATTTATCCTCTTACTGAGAACAGAGGGAAAAAACTAGTATTTTTGAGCAGGTCCAGTTAAAGCTGAATGAAACAATAACAAATTTGTAAGGAAACAGAAGAGGCCATTTTACAAGGCAGTAATCCATGTGCTTAAACATGTGGCTTTCTTAGTTACTAAAGAACTATCCACACTGAGTCATGAGGGGTGATTTGTTTCACTTTATTCTAAAAAGATGTTGAAAACATGATTCTATATTATTTACAAATGATCAAAGTCCTAGGACAGGAATGTGGAATTATTATAATTTTGTTATATTATTGTTTCCGTTCTCACTCACTAGTCTTCAATTCTTAATATATTTTCTTAAAAAGACAGTCAAAAATGAGCCAAAATATCCTATTAAAACTTGAAACTTTGATTTGTACAACTTCTCTTCTTAACATTATACATTCCATAGATGATCTGTCATGGTCTACAATCCAAATTCTAGCAGTCAGCCTGCACTTGACATCACGTGCCAAGTCACACAATACAATTTGTACAATGCTGGTAAACTCATGCCTTTTTCTAAACCCAGCTCCAATCCAGCAGAAAGCTTTGGGAGAGGGTGTAAGGCATTTAATATTTACAAACCAGAGCTTCCAGAGTGTGAGGACACCCAGTAAACAGCACCAACATGCACAACCCCATCATCAATAACTGTGGATTACAAAGTAGATTCCTAAACTTTGATGGGGCAGCAAGATAAATCCTCAGACTTTGCCCTGCCATACAGAACTAAAGCAGAGGGCACATATAAATCAGCTGCACATTTACAAAGAGCAGATGTACAGCTGACTCACAGAAAAGATTTTAATACAGTACTTTTTTTTTAAAAAAAATCTGATTTCCAATTCAGCTATAGCTATGCACAAGAATGCTTTCCAGCCTAAGACAGTGGTTGGCAATGTGCATTCCCAATCACATTACAATGTAGATGGAAACGCATGCCCTCATTCTTTTCTTCTAGTTCAAATTCAGGTCACGCTGGATGCCTGATGATCAGATGTGCATCGGTAAGTTGATGCACATTTGGATTTAATTGGGCTGGGTGGCTACTGATTTACAAAGCCAACTGCTTCTGCACATGGGTGTCCCTTGCAGGATTGGGGTGACTAAGTATGGGCAACCAAAGATGAGAGAATTAGATTTCATGTCATTTGCACATTGGCTTTAATATATCTACTAATTGTGTATCTCTCAACTAGCCATCCCAAAATGTACCCACCTGTACCAGAAAAACAAACAGAAAGTCAATTTTTTCATAGATAGATTCATGATATATTGTCATGATTAATTTAATTCATTAAATATAGCAGAGTAGGCTAACAATCTACTCTCCTTAGAAAGAAGACAGTTAAAAGATGGATTGATAATGAAGGATGGGTAATTTGGGATCCCAAATAGAGAAAAGCTACTGAGAGATACATCCATGGAATAGGGTGGAAGATGGTGGAGAGGAGGAGGAAGGTAACTTTATTCTCAAGAGTGAAAGTATAATTTCACACCAAGTATTGTAGCACTGATTTAATTAGAGAAGGGAGTTATACTATCCCCAACACTGCACTTATGAAGGCTGAGCTTACCTTGTGATAAGATCAGCTTTCTAATCTTTTGCTAAATCGAGATCACAAAAGGAGGAGGAAGGCAGAGACAGAGAGAGAAAGGGAGGGAGAGAAAAAAAACAGGAGATAGAAAGAAAGAGACAGAGAGAAAAAGAAAGAGAACAAATTCACATTCCAATCCAGTCACATCTGGCTTTTTTAAAAAAAATGAAAAGAGAATCTTTAAACAATAAAATACAGGCTAAAAATGCTTTGGCCATGAGATCATTTTCTGTCACCCATCATCTCACTTACACTGTTATCCTGATGGTTGCCGGACCAACCGCACAATCTAAAGCCATAAATCAAATCAGAGAAAAGCAAATATGCATTACCCACAGATTTGTTCTGAACAGATTCATGTAGGGTTCACATACATAAATGATCAAGAGAAGGACAGCTTCACAGTCTCTTCAGCAAAGCGATTTCTTGCCCGTTTGCCACATGACAAATAACTCAAAGGGAACAACTCTAAGTAAACTTAGGAAGCATTTTGCTGTGAACATCTGAACGTAGACTGTACTGCCAGTTATAGCGTGGGTTCAACAGCACAACCAAGTTTTCCATCTATGAAATGTGTTTGCTCCTCTGATAGCATCATGCAAGCAGAGGCGCAGTGCTTCCTCCATGTACAAGCCACCTGAAAGTAATTTCTTGCCATAGCAACATGCTCTTTTCCAGGACAAGATCAATTCGTTGCACATTGACAGCTACTGCACACAAACATCTTGTCAGTTGTTATGTTTGTAGCCTGCATCCTCTCTCAGAGAAGCTCAGGACAATATTTTAGCGTCTTAAGTACATTGAATAAGTCACAAACAAACCAAAAACACACACACATGCAGCTTAAAAGTTATATTCAGGTCCTCTAAATTGTACTCCAGCAACCCCATTTATACCAGGTTTAGACTGAGATCAGGGGGGTTGTCAAAGGTCTCTAGAGCTAAGTGGTGAACAGAAGTTAGATCTCCCACAACCACACTTGTAACTCTGCTCACTGCAGTACATGAGCTGTGTTGTGAACCATCTGAAATGGCAAACATGTAGTGCAAACTGAGCCTAGATTATGCTTTTTTCCTGCTAACATACAGCACCAGATGCCTTCTGTGTAAATGCAGCTAGGAAGTAGCATGCCTGTCATTTAGTTTCCTTCATTTGCTGCAGGCAAAAACCAACAATTGGATCTATATGGGAATAACACCAAGAATTACTGAAGACAAGACACAAATATGTATTAACATTGCATCATTGGGGACGCAAACACATAGAGAGTCACAAACTCTCCCCTCCAAGTAGAAGTTGCTTTCCTTGATGATGGCGAGTTCAAAGTTGCAGCTGGCTTCAGCTATCAATAGAAAGTGATGCCATGGCCATTTACTTATCATTTATAGCACTGGCTATCAGTAATCTAATTAAACTATGTACCAGTCCTTAATATCTGTCAGGCAAACAATGTGCAGAAATGTGGGGGCAAGTTCTGGCACTCTTTCTGGCAAGGTCCTTTTTCCGCTGTCAGTAGTACCATTGGCTTCTCCTAATATAATTACACTGACTTTTATTCAATTAAGTGTCATTCCTAGCTTTAAAAAAACTTGCTTTATCAACTGATTCAGGTGTAATGCAATAATAAGATGAACTCATTGCAGTGCATTAGCTCTGCTGTTCATAACTTCTGGATATGAGTTCATTCATAGCAGTCGATTTCCATTATGCAACCACAGTTCACAAGGATTGATTTCGTTCCATTCATTTCTTCATGTATATTTCTCATATTGAAAAATCATCCTCAAGTTCATATGTAAATCTAAACTGATATATTGTGAGGAAAACACTTTGTGTTTATTTGGATAGTTTTTTTTTTATTTTTACACGTTCAGTTTAATAGCAAAGCTGTGGAGTTTAAAGGTGTCGAATCATCCTCAAGTTCATATGTAAATCTAAACTGATATATTGTGAGGAAAACACTTTGTGTTTATTTGGATAGTTTTTTTTTTATTTTTACACGTTCAGTTTAATAGCAAAGCTGTGGAGTTTAAAGGTGTCGTAAGATTTTGTGAAACTGGCAGAGTACTGAACACTGAGCTGTATTCAGATTCAGAGTAGACTCATTAAATGCATGGGCCTTAATATTATTGTGACCAACTTGAGTGCCGCTGATTGCAGTCAGCCTGATTTTAAGCCTGACTACACAAGGGGCCCTAAGTTATATGATACAATTTACCAGATAAGTGTCCCATGTGTTGAAATGGACTTCACATGTGGGCAACTCATTCACTTCTAGGCCAACAATCCTGAGACCCTTGAATCCAGAATATTCCTGAAAGCTCCCCTTGTTTTCTATGGCTTTTCTCCAGTGTTTGTCCACTGAAGTTCTGGTAAATTGGAATATGTTAGGAACTTCTCCCAACCCCCAAATCTGAACACAGGGACTGCATTTTAACTGCATTGAACAAATGCCTTGATCTATTGGATCCTGTAAAATAATGAATCATATTTTGCTGGCCTCCTCTATGTAGGAGCCCAGCACAATTAACCACTGTAACCTGTCTCCCCCAATTACTGATTTACTTAATAAATAAATGTTTTATCTTCTATTTAGTCCTAAGAGTAATCATTCTTATGCTTATTTCTAAGCTTCTATGAAACTTTTCTGAGGCACTTGGTTGTTCTTAGAGCTTTTAGCTTAATTCCTTACTTCAAGTATTTCACTAAAGAGAGGCTTGCAAAGATATCTTTAGGCAAAAACTACCAACTGAAAAATACCATTAGTCTTGTGAAAGGTTTTGGGGTTTCCCTCAAACTTTTTTTTTTCCCATGAAAAAGAATCCGTAAATTCGATTTGAATTTTACTGTAGTTTAAAATCTGGTGGCAATTCTAAATCTTTCCTTTCTCTTCTGGTACAGTTTTTGACTATGAGTTTGTTCCAG